CAGAGGGCTAGACAGACCGTATGCGCTTCTGCAATTGTGAGCTGCGCCACGCTCGTTGGAGTTGAGCATCGGTAAAGAGAACTTCCGGATGGATGGAAACACAAGCAAGGCACAGCATAGCGCGAGCTGAATTGCAAACAAGGAGATAGCAGCAAACTGGTGCTCGCCGAACCGGGGGCTGGGCCCACCCCCCTTCGACGAAGGGGGGCTTGAAGGGGGGCTTCAAGCCCCCCTTGAAGGGGGCCTGAAGGGTCAGACCCTTGAAGGGGGGCTTGAAGGGTAGCCTGAAGGGGGGGCTGGGGGGGGGGGGGGGGGGTGAAGGGTCGAAGGCTTGAAGGGGGGCTTGAAGGGGGGCTTGAAGGAGGGCTTGAAGGGGGGCTTGAAGGGGGGCTTGAAGGGGGCCTTGAAGGGGGCCTTGAAGGGGGCCTTGAAGGGGGGCTTCAAGGGGGGCTTCAAGGGGGGCTTCAAGGGGGGCTTGAAGGGGGGGCTTGAAGGGGGGCTTGAAGGGGGGCTTGAAGGGGGGCTTCAAGGAGGGCTTGAAGGGCGGCTTGAAGGGGGGCCTGGAAGAGGGGCCTGGAAGGGGGTGTGCAGAGGTTTTGAAGAGGCTGAAGCAGGGACCCCCCCTCCTCCAGATTTTTTTTTTTTTGTGGCGGCTGCTTCCTCTTCCCCCCCGGGACCTTCCCTTAGTATCAGTGTTCTTGCCCCTCGGTCCTAAACCAGCCAAGCAGTGTATGAAGCCTCCTGCTCTACAGGCATGTCGACAGTCGAAGAAAATCTGGATATATGACAGCCCTTGTTCTTGATGCACGCATATGGGTATATATAAGTATTCTCTTATGTAGGCACATGAGGATAATAACATCGTGTGCATGTCTAATGTTGGTTAAAATCTAAAACACAGGAAAAGCATGAAAAACAGCAGTGTCGAAAATCACGGGCCCGTAATGTGTTATTTTCTGAAGAAAAAGATTGCCAATGACCAGTCCCTGCCACAAAAGAAGAAGAGACCACACGAAACCGCTTTATGGGGGTTTTTGCGACGAAAAAACAAAAGAACGAAAAGACAAAGAAAAACAACCCCTCCCATTTTTTTTTTTTAGATTCTTGCCGACAACAAAAACCAGTCCCTGCCACAAAAGAAGAAGAGGCCACACGAAACCGCTTTATGGGAGGTTTTTGCGAAGAAAGAAAAGAACGAAAAGACAAAGAAAAACAACCCACCCACTGTTTTGAGGGCTTGCCGACAACAAAAAAGGGTTACCAATGACCAGTCCCTTAAGCCCCCTTGAAGCCCCCTTGAAGCCCCCTTGAAGCCCCTTGAAGCCCCCCTTGAAGCCCCCCTTGAAGCCCCCCTTGAAGCCCCCCTTCAAGCCCCCCTTCAAGCCCCCCTTCAAGGGGGCTTCAAGGGTTCGACCCTTGAAGCCCCCTTCAACGAAGGTCGAAGCCCCCTTCAGACCCCCTTGAAGGGACCGTGAAGGGTCACGCCCTTCAAGCCCCCCTTCAAGGGGGTCTTGAAGGGGGCCTTCAAGCCCCCCTTCGCCGAAGGGCGGTGGGCCCATTCAGCCGAACCGGTAGCTGTCTGCTTTGTGAAGAAAGATCGGAGAAATTCGCACGAGTTCTGAGAGACATTCAACAACCAAGTCAAGAAGAACAGCAATTGCACCGAAACAACTCTGTCTTTCAAATGGTTGTTCAACCAAGTTTCGAAATCCAGGTTTTGCGATTGAAGTAGAGTTCGAACGTTCGAGAAGAGTCGAATGCTCGGAGTGGAAATGTGCAGAAATGCTATTTTCGAACCCACCACCTCCGCTTGGCAAGAAGTAAATCTTCTACCTTTTTTTTTGCTTGACTTCCGATTTTGCATTCACTTTCTATGGTTTTTGTGTCAGTGCTTGCAGCGCGCTCCATCATTAAACACTGACAGCCAGCCGATTAGCACAATTACAAACTGGAAACCACTCATTTTTTCAGACCTGCATGTTTCTGCGGGGCTGGGCCCACCCCCCTTCGACGAAGGGGGGCTTGAAGGGGGGCTTCAAGCCCCCCTTGAAGGGGGCCTGAAGGGTCAGACCCTTGAAGGGGGGCTTGAAGGGTAGCCTGAAGGGGGGGCTGGGGGGGGGGGGGGGGGGGGTGGGGGGGGGGGGGGGGTGAAGGGTCGAAGGCTTGAAGGGGGGCTTGAAGGGGGGCTTGAAGGAGGGCTTGAAGGGGGGCTTGAAGGGGGGCTTGAAGGGGGCCTTGAAGGGGGCCTTGAAGGGGGCCTTGAAGGGGGGCTTCAAGGGGGGCTTCAAGGGGGGCTTCAAGGGGGGCTTGAAGGGGGGGCTTGAAGGGGGGCTTGAAGGGGGGCTTGAAGGGGGGCTTCAAGGAGGGCTTGAAGGGCGGCTTGAAGGGGGGCCTGGAAGAGGGGCCTGGAAGGGGGTGTGCAGAGGTTTTGAAGAGGCTGAAGCAGGGACCCCCCCTCCTCCAGATTTTTTTTTTTTTGTGGCGGCTGCTTCCTCTTCCCCCCCGGGACCTTCCCTTAGTATCAGTGTTCTTGCCCCTCGGTCCTAAACCAGCCAAGCAGTGTATGAAGCCTCCTGCTCTACAGGCATGTCGACAGTCGAAGAAAATCTGGATATATGACAGCCCTTGTTCTTGATGCACGCATATGGGTATATATAAGTATTCTCTTATGTAGGCACATGAGGATAATAACATCGTGTGCATGTCTAATGTTGGTTAAAATCTAAAACACAGGAAAAGCATGAAAAACAGCAGTGTCGAAAATCACGGGCCCGTAATGTGTTATTTTCTGAAGAAAAAGATTGCCAATGACCAGTCCCTGCCACAAAAGAAGAAGAGACCACACGAAACCGCTTTATGGGGGTTTTTGCGACGAAAAAACAAAAGAACGAAAAGACAAAGAAAAACAGCCCCTCCCATTTTTTTTTTTAGATTCTTGCCGACAACAAAAACCAGTCCCTGCCACAAAAGAAGAAGAGGCCACACGAAACCGCTTTATGGGAGGTTTTTGCGAAGAAAGAAAAGAACGAAAAGACAAGAAAAACAACCCACCCACTGTTTTGAGGGCTTGCCGACAACAAAAAAGGGTAACCAATGACCAGTCCCTTAAGCCCCCTTGAAGCCCCCTTGAACCCCTTGAAGCCCCTGAAGCCCCCCCTTGAAGCCCCCCTTGAAGCCCCCCTTGAAGCCCCCCTTGAAGCCCCCTTGAAGCCCCCCTTTCAAGCCCCCCTTCAAGGGGGCTTCAAGGGTTCGACCCTTGAAGCCCCTTCAACGAAGGTCGAAGCCCCTTCAGACCCCCTTGAAGGGACCGTGAAGGGTCACGCCCTTCAAGCCCCCCTTCAAGGGGGTCTTGAAGGGGGCCTTCAAGTCCCCCTTCGCCAAAGGGCGGTGGGCCCGTCGGTGCCTCTGTGGACGCCATTGTGCTACCCATGGTCATGGGTGGCTGAACCAATTTCCATGTTGGCCATTGCGCGGCCCAGACCGTTCGGGGAGCAGGGCCGGTCTTTGGCCATTGCGCTACCCAAGTTTACGGCACGACTAATTTCCATGTTGGCCATTGCGCAATCCAGACTTCACGCGGAGCAGAGTCGGTGATCCTGGGGCTCGCGTGCACTCAATTCATGCTGAACGACTTTGTCCTTTTACTCTGCATAGGTTTGGTTTTGTTTGCGTTCTTTGTTACTTCATCGTAGTTCTTACTGGGACCGAGTGCAGCAACTGCTGTCTTTGAGGTCCGCCAACGCCAACAAAAAAGACATAGTGCGCGGCAGGCCTTGAAGCAAACACGACTGATGCTTTCTTTCGGTTTGCTTGCCAAGTCCATAGCGGTCCTGAAGCTGACTCTTCCACCCTGAGAACCCATCATTTAACCTGGTTGCAGAGCAAATTTGGCTTCAATTTGCATATTTGAGATGTTTCCAGTTTTTGTTGTCCAGATTTTGTGTCAATTTTGTCTCATCTTCGTCATGTAGGAAGTGGGCCAGGCTCTTCCACAGATCCTGTTCTCCTTGTCCAGAAAGCAACATTTGAAAGCCAAGCAGCGGAAAGTGCCGCACACACGTGATCAAGCCACCTGTCCAGATCGTCTTTGAAAGAGCGATTTTCTTTGGATGGAATCCTCACATCAACTCCCATTGAGATCACCGAAATTGCGATTGATGTTGGGCATCTTGAAGAACAAAGCTACTGAGCAGTGTTCCTGTGGACAAACTGAGACAGCACTAGTCACTACTGCAACTGGAGATGTCGAAAGTGCCGCAAGACTTTGAGTGTTTGTGCAGGCGACACTGACTTGTTTTATCAAAGTGGCCTTGCGCAGTCTGCTTGGAAGCTTGTGAATATTTTTTGTGTTCCATTGTCTTTGTCACCAGACAAATCAGGCCTTGTGCTTGGCATTGACCATCGCTCTACAAGAACACTCTTCGACAACTTCCGGAAGTTACTCCGATCATGGACCGACTCAGCAATACCTTACATCTCGGAGGATTAGGTTGTGATGTGGAGCTCGACGAGATCAGCTTTCGCAGCAAAACCGTCGGCAAGAGAGTTGTTTGGATCCGTTATTTGGCAACTGCCAATCGTGGAAGCAGTACCGCCCAAAGGCGGCCAACGAGGGGCGGTGCCCAATCAGTTTGGAGGAATTGAAGTCTGCAATCTTGTTGGAAGATTGTGACAGTAGATCTGCCAGGGTTCAGTTTGCCACACAGATGGGGCGCGAACTTACAAACAGCTCGGAGTCATGGACAGTCCTTTGCTGGACAGGGAGTCTTTGATGTCGAGTTTTCGGATTTGCACTTGGCCCACACTGCTGTGAAACACAAGCCACCGAGGCCAGAGTTTGCAAAGACGTTTCAGGTCAAGGTGTGGACTGGCTCTGCTTGGGTTCAGGAAGAAAGACAGGTGGGACACAGAAGTTAGGTGGCTTCTTTGCCAGCTTCCGAGGCGAAGTGGGCCGCAGCCCGTTTAACACGGCTGGACCCAGTCTTCAGACAGCCGCCAACATGGAGCAGCACTTGCACGAACGCGTGCGCTGTTTCCAACTTGCCTATTGGTTGTCGGGAAGCGACTTGTTCCAGGTCTTCGGAGCTTTGCGGAGTGCACAGTTGAGTGGTGGAGCATCGTGGGCAACTTTGGCACCCTTTCTGGCAGACCGGGCAAGTGCCAAGAAGGATGAGGGCATCATTGAAACCATTGAGAGTGGCTCCGATGAGTAGTTGCTTGTAGATGTGCCATTGAAACCACTGGTTGCTTCTTTCGGCCTTTGCTTGCATTACCCGCTTGTGCGGCTGCAGCTGTCATGCAAAAAGATGAGTTTGCATCCGCCAGATAGTCCTGAGAATGAAGGTGTTCAGGTCATGTAGGCAGCGGAACTGGCTTTGCTTTTTTGGAGGCCTTGGATGTGGCCACTGAAGCAGCCCTCAGCCGGCCTTGGGTGTGGGTGTGTGTGTGTGGGTGTAGTGTGGGGTCTGGGTGTGGGGGCGTGAGCGTGGGCGTGGGCGTGGGCGTGGGTGTGGGTGTGGGTGTGGGGTGTGGGTGTGGGTGTGGGTGTGGGGTGTGGGTGTGGGTGTGGGTGCGGTGTGGGTTCGGGTGGGTGTGGGGGTGGGTGTGTGGGTGGGTGCAGAAGGCTACGTTAGAGATGCGCGGCGCCTTGCGCAGCAGCAGTTTCGCTTGGGAGGGATCAGCATATATGCGTGGCGCAGTGCGCGGAAGTGTCAAGGGATGCTGCCGCGCACGGCGCCGCGCCCTTCGTTTTTTTAATTTTCTACCGCGCACCACACCGCGCCCGGCTAAAAGTTTGTAAGAGTGTGAAAGCAAGTCTCACTGGAATTGCGTGGTGCTTCGTGCGCAAGGATTGTAAATCGAGCAGCAGCGGTCGCTTTCAAGTAAGTTGTTTTTTCAAGAGGCAGAGACCAGAGATAGTTCTGAAGCACATTGGGAAGCTTGCTCCAAAATTTCTGCTGCAGACGTGGTTTTTTTGACCTTTTTCAAAAAGAAGAGGTGGCTTCAAAACTTCTGCAAGAGTAGGCAGTTTCGAGCCGTTCCAACCAGGGTCTGTTCCAGCCAGGGTTGTTTCCAGCCAAGGGTTTTTTCCAAGTCGGAGGTGGCTCCAGGCGAAGGGGTTTTCCAGTTAGAGCATGCTGTTCTTGTGATGAGAGTTGTTCCAACCCGGAGCTTGTTCCACCCAGAGTTGTTCCAGCGAAGGTTTTGTTCCAGCCACGGGTTGGTTCCAGCCAAGGGAGTTTCACCCGTAGACCAATTCAGCTCAGACATGGAGATCATTATCGCTCCGTTGCGACATCGTACTATCCCAGGTTGAAATGGTGGTGCCCGTTGGCCCGGACTAGACTAGACCTTGTTGTCCAAATCATCAAACCACGGCTTTCTGATCGCATACTGTTGATTTCACAATTCCATCGTCTTCCTGTTGCTGCTGCTGCCGCTGCTGCGTTTGCTCTGCTTCGCATGGGGCCATGACGCTTGCGGAAGCCCCATGCCCCGTTTGCGTCTTAACCCTTCGGGGCGGAAACAACGCGGGTGCCCGTCTCTTTGCCAGGAGTCGATTTCTTTCCCTCTCTCTTTCGAGAAGTTGCTTTTGGCAATGTGTCGATGGAGCATGTTTTTTGGCTGGGCAGGCTTCGATGGCAGCGATTCCCAGCGAAAACCATGAATCACCGATCAAAAACAATCAAAACGCTAGTGGTGAAACACAAGGCTGGGAACTAATATCGGAACTTAGGGTTTCCTGGGTTCAACTTCGTGAGGTTCAACCTGGAGGTCAAACTTTTTGCTCAAAAAAGGGATGGAGGCCGTTTGTGCCAGTTCGAAAACTGTTGGTTTGCAGGGCTTTTGAGCGGAGTAGAACCCTCAGGGTTCAACCAGAGGTGAGGTCGAGTTGACTCTGATCCGATGTATGGTTGAGGGACAAGTCCACCAAATCTGACTTGAGGCCGGCTCAAGCACCAAGTTATATAAGGCCAAAAAAGTTCATTGCAGACGAACTCCGAGGGTTTAGAATTGAGCAAATTACGTTTAGATTGTTAGTTGAAGTGGAACACATGGTTTGTTTTTTCATGGTTCATTCCAATGTGTGGTTGTTGAGCGGTATGGAAGCGAATGGGAAGGTTCACAGTGTTCGATCCCACAAGCTGACAAATCGAGTGGAATGTTTGTTGGTTACCATCGTGAATTTGAAACACGCAACCATAAAGATGGTTTGCGGCAATGCAAACATTTACGTTGGAAGTGGTGGTTGACTCCATCCAGGCCCGTTGAGTTTAATGATCGCATTTTGGCATTCATGTGAGTCTTGTGAAGTCTGCTGGCAGGGATGGGGCCGGGTTCGGCGCGGCTCAACCCAAGATGCTGACAAGCAAGAGACAAGGCACTATTCCTGCGAGTGCGGTGTTTGTGGGAGGTTTGTCGCACGTGATAAATGCAATTGCGAAGCGTGCAAAGTAGTTTGATTCATTGATTGTTCCAATGTTGAGTCAGTTGGGTCAATCCCGGGCTGGATCAAAGAAGATGACAGGCATGAGCCTGCGTTGGTCTTGAGACTGTTGGACTTGGACCCAGTGATGATCGAGGAGCGGACGGAAATTTTGCCGTCCGTTGCGTCGTGAAGTGAACACAGCAGTTTCAGTGGACTTGCCTCCAGGCAGATTCTGCGACGGCAATGCCCAAAGGATTTGCTTGCTTCAACGGCAAGGGTAAGGTGGGGCAGCGAAAGGTACCGGGTCTGTTCTGGTCATTTTGTTGCTCCGCAGGCTTTGACCTTCGAACTTCCCTGTGGAATGCTTGAGCAAACTCTGCCGTCAAGCTCCCAGCAGATCGAGAATGCCTGGTGTGCGCGCTGTTCTGTTTACGAAGTCTGTAAATGGTCTCTTGCTTGGATTGAACCTTTTCTTTGAAAGCTTTCCGAGGTTGTGGCTCATGGCCTTGGATTTGCAGCCTGTGGACCGTGACTCTGATGCCAGGCAGGCCAGTAGGAGAACGGTCGTGGTCAAGGTTGTAGTACAATGAGACAGCATGAACTCTGTTGCACGGTCCATGACGTCCGGTTAAGCGGTTCGGAGCAGCCTGCGCGGCTCAGGAGAGCAGTGCTGATGTCATCTTCTTGCGTCAACTTGGCCCACGAGGTTTCATTTTGCCGGAGAGATGGCCTAGTCTGGCAGGGTTTTTCCGTTTTGGCATGCGACGTGGAGGTGTCCAGGGCATTGTTGCAGCGGAGCTGCCGCGAGCTCGCAAGCAGGGATCCGAAGTGTCGATAGGCTGCCGAGTTGCGCACCACTGTACCACAGGTCCAGGTTTTGCAAGCCCTGTCTCACATAAAAAGATGCAAGGCTTCGACGGGTTGGAAACGAGAGTATTGCTTTGGAGTCTGGCTCAGGTGCAGCCCCAACGGTGTTCCAGCGCCTTCGTCTCAGGACATTATGTCCGACTTCGCATCTTCGAGTGTGTTACTGGGTTTATACCCATCTGGCGTGCGCTTTGCTGGACCATTGCTAGTCTGTATAGTTTTTCAGTTAGTTGAGGAGCCTTGCATGTCATTTCTGGCTCAACAGTTCGGTTGAACATTGGGCCAAAGGCCGGGACTTGTGGTTTGTATGCAGCAACAGCGCGGCCCGTTGGCACGGAGGTGGGTGGTTGAAGAAACATAGACAGAAGCAACATAAAAAGGAAGTACCGACCAAGCAAAAACAGAAACGACAGACTTATTCTTTGTCAATCCGACAGCAGAACAAAAAAGCGTGAGTGCCTCAAGCCTTGCCATGGTGCACTACGAGGCATTCGATTGCTTGCTTGCAGGGTTGAAGCTTCCAGACTTCCGCAACATCAATATTTCCATCGTTTACGGCGCCTGCAGGTCGTGTCTTCTGCCGAGCTCGGGGGCGCTTTGGTCCGCGAGGGCAAGAGCAGCGAGCTTGGCAAACCTCCTCTCTGCTGCGTACTGCACGGAGATGATTGACTGCTCTGGCAAGACTGTAAGCCGTAAGCGTCAGAGCCGCAGAGGCCTGACCTCCCAGCAGCTGGCGCGACTTGGCATAGGTCAGGGGCCCGGGGCCTTGCACTTGCGAATTCATGGCCATCGTGATTCCAAATCCTGACAAACAGGCGCTGTGGTGTCGGAGCTGGAGCGTGTTCACGTCTCAGCGATTCTTGTCTTGACCTGGCTTGCATGTCATCTTGAGTTTCGCAGTAGTTCAGGTTGGAGAGCGCCTGCGATTCAAGAAAGTATCAGGCAAGGGTTTGACAAGTTATACACTACTGAAACAAGCGTCCCGTCTACATGACCCTCGAGGTTCTGGTCCAGAAAGCGGGTGGGTTAGCCTGGGCCGCAATGTCCTCAAGTCTTCGTATGTCAAGTGGCCTTGCCGGCGCTTGAGGTGCAAAGCTGCTCTCCAAGTGTGATGCTGGCAAGGCATGGTTACGTGCATACGTGGTATTCATGCACCCAGCGCTTGGCATTGGTGCAAGCTGTGCGATGTTGCGAGGCAGCGCCTCAGAAGTACCAGGTCTGCCGGTTTGACAGCAGGGCTATGGTAGAAGCTGGAAAATGCTGGGGACTTTCGTTGCAGGGAAAGAGCCTGCTGGCCCAAGCAGAGGCGAAGATATTGGAAAAAGGCACACGTTCCGCTCAGCTCCTAAGGCCTCAGTCCCGCCCAGATTGCTGCAGGCGTTCCCCAGTCTTTGAAAGAGGCTGGCAAGGAGAGGGCCTCAGTTTATTGTAGTTTCTAAGCTATAAGCTTCTGGACATGAACACCACATCAGCCCGAAGTCCGAACAGGATGGACCTGGCCGCCTCCTGGCCTCCATGGCTCACCTCGCAGATGGCAAAAGCCTCAGCTCAGAGACAGACTCGGCCCTCGGCCCTCGGCTCTTTTGTGTCCTCCTGTCCTTGCTCCTTGCTGTGTGCGAGGCAAAACGGGTCAGGCGGCGGAAGCTGCGAAAGAAGCGCAGGCCACGCTGAAAGGCAACAAGGTGCGAACCCATCTTCTCGCCTTGCTCTTCAGACGGATAGCACTGCTTTGGTGTACTCAGCAAAGGAGGGCGAGGCCTGTGCTACCTTGGCCCTGGCTTTGGCACAGCTTTCTGCGGAGCCCAAAGTGGCTGTGGGTCCGGAACTTACGTGACAGAGCGATGCGCAGCGCGGAGGAAGAAAGAGTGCACAATTGAAGGGCATGCGATGGCTGCGCTGAGCGCCTTCAAGGAGGTCTTTCGGGTCGTGTGGTACTAAACCGGCTGTGGAGTCACTGCGGATTCGCTGCCGGATGGCGCAGTGCAGTCTGTGCTGCTCGCGCAGGTGGGTGACAAGCAGATGGAGGCTTCCACGCTGACAGCCATGGCCAACGCACGGCTCTACCTGCCCGGGTCCTGGTCGCTTCCATTTACGTGCACAGACAGACATGCATGCATGGATGGATACATTCAAGCGCACATGCATACATAGTTACATACTTAACTGGACCTATGTAGATACATATACCCACCTACCTACCAACATAAATACAGACATACATTCTGGCATACCTGCGCACATACCTTTCGACCTAGTTGTGTACCGTAATCGCCTTTCTACCTACCTACCCACCCACCCACATACATACATCTGAACATACACATATGCAGACATGCAGACATACATATCTTTTGTTCCTTCTGCACTTGTGAAAAATCAAACCGGCAACCGTCCTGGCCAGTCAGACTGAGCACGTGAGCAGACAACTGTGCAAGCCGAAACCCAGCAAAGTAACACAGCATTGCATGGTCGAATCACTGATTGTTCAACTGGAGTTGACCAATGAGTCAGCTACTTGATGCCTCTAGGTCTAGAATAGACAAGGGAAGAAAGCCTCACACGATCATCTTCACGCGGAGCGAACAAGCCGGGGGTCTGTGCGCCTCAGTAGCAGGCAAAGGGCAAGCACGTCTGCAAAGTCACCCATCAAACACCGACACGGATCATGTCTTCGTACGCTTCATGGAGCATTGACTTCCTGCACCTTTGCAGGAAAGAGCTCAGTGTGGGTGAGGCGGCAGTGAAGGATGCCCTGCGGCTATTCCGTGAGCCGCGTGCTTGGAACGGCTTTGAGAAAGTTCATGTTAGTTATTGTTAGGAAACTGTGGTGACCTTGCTAGAGTACTAACATCGAGGGGTTGAGGTCCTGTTTGTGATCTTGCTGCCCGAAGGATAGGTGACACTGATGGAGAGGAAGCAGCTCAGCCGGATTCTCGGGAAAGAGTAGCAAAACCAGAGCCGGCGCAACAGAGATTGCAGAATTCTGTCAGGATCACGCTCTTGGACATCCTTTGTGCGAAAGACGGCCCAGCCGCTGGAGCTGCGACCGTGGCGACCTCTGACGCACGGGAAGCCAAGTGCTGCGAGTACTCCAGTCTCTCAGGTCAGCAAGGAACGACTTGCTTACTACAAGGCCAAGGGCGACAAGCTTGGGGAGGCTCCCTGGCTTCCTAGTGGGAGTTCAAGAAGTTGAAGGGATTCCCAGCTGCGAGAGCGGAAGCGGCGGCGATCAATTTGAGAACATCGCAGTGCATGTCAAACGAAACCTGGAACCCCGGAACCGCCCCATTCCGCATTCTCTGCATCTGAGCTCGGATGCATTGTCCCCTGCCACTTTTCCTTCTTCGCAGGGAAAGGCCTTGCAGAAGCTGGCGGAGCAGCTCATGAGCAGTGCCAAAGACGAGGCCCGTGAGCAGCTTGGGCTCAAAAGTCTCATCACATCTATGGTTTCTTTATTGGAGGCAGCTAAATACGCCAAAGAAGCGGCCGCACTCTTCGTGCAGGCTGGCAACGGTCAAGGATGTGTTCAGTGTTCATTGTGAAGACGGGCTTGCTTGTTTAGAATCTGACATGATCTGAAATGCAGCCCACCTCGTTCAGCAGCGTAGACAGACCATTGGCAGGCCGGCGACAAGAAGGCACAGGCAGCAGCTCTTCAAACGGACCGGTGCTCGGATTTCGGCACTTGCGGCGCTTGGAACTACGCGAGTCCGAGTCATCTAGTCGTTGGCAGCTGATGGTGACTGCTTGCTGATTCCTGGTCACACCGTGGTCTTCCAGGCTGCTCTGGCACAGAGCACGGATCGAGTCTCTGCCGCAGAGGAGGCAAACTCTCTCCAGTTCATGTGGGCAGAGACCTCGGATGCTCCTCACCAGACCATCGCAGGCGCTGAAAATCAGCAAGTCTATCGGCGATGAAGCCGGTCAGGTTCGTGAGAGTTGCTTTCTCAAGCGATCGGCAACCCGGAGCCTATGACGGCGAAGGTGGATCTGCTCACTGGCCTCAGCGCTGTGCTGATCGGAGAGGCGGCACTCGCGCGGGCGCAGGAGGCAGCAGTGGGGCTGGTGAGCAGAACCAGAGCAAGAGTGCACTATACAGGCTTTTGTCAATGTGGCATTCAGGTGGCTGTTTTCCCTACGGTTCCGAGACTGCAAGTACTAGAACCACTGTCAACGTGACGCTCAGGCACAAGCCTTGGCCAAAAAGCTTGGGGACAGGTCGGGGCTCTCGTCGGTCGGGGCTTTCGAGGACGGCATGTTGAAAACGATGCGTCTCTGCACCCTGCAGGTCTGGTGAAGCACGAGCAAAGCATGCAGCTGCTGTTGCCACGCTGAAGCTGGAGAAGCCTTCAGAGGACGCCCCCATCAGACATGTCAGTTGAACGCCCATGGATGATTGCTGGCTGCAAATGTGCTGTCGTGTCAGCAATGTTACCAGCAGTGGCTTGGGATTGGCTCTCTGCAGGCTTTGGAGCTTGCCAAGGAGGCTGCCAGCATTTTAGGCCAGCACCCGTGTAGCGATGCCGGGATGTTGGATATCCTCGTCTTCATCTGCTCAGGTGAGGAGAAAGACACTATTTCGCAAGCATGCGCGCTGAGAACGGCTGTCATTCTCCCAGCATTGCCGGAGTGCAGCGAGCTCGCTGTAGATTGTGCTTAGTGACTAAGTGCCGGACATGGTTGCGCCCGCTTTGGCTGGTTGTGTAAACCTCGTTCCGAGAAATCTCCTACTCAACATGGGCTTTGTCTGCCCGACTGTGAGGCATCGGCAGCCGGCGCAGCAGAAGCTTGCGAGCTGCTTCGCGAGGCTGTGGATGAATGTCAAGCATAACCTGCTGGGATATCAGGAAGCATCTGATCCCTGATTGGTGGGCAGCAGTGTGTACAGAAGTCCCGCAGATGCCTGTGCTCTCTATCATATCTCCACAACCGCAAAGCATTTTCATGCCTAAAGTGCTGCTCACTTCTCGCTATGACATGACGTACCGACAACGATGACGTTCCAACCGTCAAGTGGTATTGAGCGCTTGCGAGTTTGGAACTTTTCGGACCAAGTTCTCAAGGCCGTTTCGCTTTCGGCGGGCAGCGGTGACCGGACAGCGGAGGCCAGAGTTCGTGCGCCGAGTTGGACCTGCGTGCATTGAGAGCCCAGAGCCCAACACCGACAGTCAAAGTCTAAGTTTTCGTCGAGGTGTGTGCGTTGTGTGCGTTGGAAGGCTGCTGCCAAGCTTCAGCTTGCCGCTGCACTGCTGGCTTTTGAAGGCAACATGAAAATCCCTTGTTTTCATCCGGGGCCTCGTCCCTGCACTCATATTCTTCCACAGTCCTGCTTTGTGTTGATAGCGTTGTGGACTTGCGTGGACTTGCAAGTCATGCTAGGCTGCTAGTCACTGGAAGCACTTTTTGTTCTGTGGACCTTTCTGAATGCACTTGGCGAGCACATTGCAGGCCCCTTGGCGAGCATCTTTCAAAACCGAACGGAAGCAGCCGCCGTGGCCGAGCAAGCTCGGGTGGCCTACCTTCTCTTGGGCGACAAGAGGCACACGGCGCGCCGCTAGTTTCCTGCCTGAAAAAACACAGATGTCGGTTCTGCAGATCAGGAGTCAAGGTCGTGCATCGCATCTTGCCGCGCAAAGTGGCACGGCTGCACGCAGTTCGGGGGGTGGACCAGCTCCAATCTGCACCTTCCGTGCGCTGCTGCAAAGGCAAGATCCTCCTGGATGATTTGGACGGAGGAGTCGAAGCTGCTATGCAGGCCCTTGTCGCAGAGCGGCGATGCCTTGCATGACGCATTCCGGCAAACATGCAAGGCAGCGGTTCTTGGGCGCAGCTGTGGCGACCGATGGCTGGAGGCTTGCGCCATGCCTTTCCCTCAGCTCTGGATTCAACTTCCGCAGCGTCTTGCCTGTGCACCGGAGTTCGTACTGGTGCTCTGCTCAAAACTGGTGATGGGATTCACTGCGATGCAGTCCTCTTCCATATCGCACAGGGGCTTCCATCGACTCAATCCAGTCTGCGGGTAGCTGTACGTTTGCTGGCCGGAGCAAGATGCATTATTCCGATGACGGAACATCCTCTTCAAAGTTGCAGTGTGTAGGATGATCAAGCTGGCATTTCACAGATGGGCTCTCCCTGCCTTCAGAGCTCCGTCACTGATCACCAAGAGCTGAGGGATATCGCTTTTAGGCAGCCTTCGGTTCTGAGGCGAACAGCAGTGGCTGGGCAGGTCTCAAAGGGCTGCCATGCAGAGGTGCCTCGGCAGAGCAATGGTGTTTGTAATCTTTTTTCCTGTAATATGTAGCCTCCAATTGAGACTTATCTATCAATTATGGACTGCGACGGCCAGGCCTTGCGAATGGCCAAGGAAGTCAAGTCCCTCTTCCATAAGCTCGGGTGTCACGCTCAGTCGCCACCATCTTGCTTTCATCGCACTTGCACCTTGGCATTGTAGTCCCTTGACCTCATCATTCATCATCGTGAAGCTCGCAAACTCTCCCAAGGTCTTCGAACATAGAGGAAGCCATGGATTCACTCATCCAGCAGCTGGAGGAGGCAAGAAACTGCTCCTGGAAGCTCCCTCAAGCTTAGTGTATGGGCTCCACTGCCAGGTGCTGCCGAAGATCCATCCAAATCCTCGTGTGTCCGTTCTGCCAGGGCCTCGGCCGGGTCAGTGTGCGTAACTTGTGTAAGTGTCTGTGTCTGCACGCGCCTGACTTTGAGTCTCTCTCTCTCTCTCTATCTCTCTCTCTCTCTCTCTCTCTCTCTCCTCTGTGCCTGTGTGCACCATCTTCCGAAATGGATGCAGGAAGCAGTGACGGTTTGGCCGGTCTCAGGATCATCAGGGTGTAGGAATCGGCATCTAGATCTTGACGAGAAGCTGGGCCTGGACTGCGGCACCAAGATTCGAAGCTTTCCTCATAATCACGGTTGCAGCAGCACAACTAAGCTTGACGTGCTTTTTGCTCTGAGCCGTTTAGTAACTTCAGCATCGAGCCAGCCGTCACGCGGGTCATCCTGCAAATGTGCGAGTGTGCATGGTCTGCTCTTCTACATGACGGGAGGCCGAAGGATGCCAGCATCAACCTCCAGCAGAACTCAATCTTCACCCAAGCCACGAACTGCATTGTGCAAGCCTTACACACCTGTGGTCAAAGCCCGTGCGTGTCGTCAAATCATTCAGGTGTGGTCCCTTCCAGTCTCCCAATTGAGCTACCTGATGCTATGGGCTCAGCAGAAGTTCTTAACGGAGAATGTTGACCGCATCCTTCGGCATGTTGGATAGTGAGCATGTTCTAAGGTACTGTTGTGAGCTCCTGAAATTCGTCGACGATCTGAAAGCAATACCAGATCGCATTGCTTTTCTGGTGCTCGAACTCAGATAAAGTGACGCTCCTGTGACGATACCTAAAAAAGGCTCTAGAGGTCCTTTCGCCAGTCACATGTCTCGAAAAGGTTCTGACACGGGGCGTTATGGGGCGACACACCGGCGAGATGATGCCTGCGCAGTACACAGGAGTGCTCGGAACAACGGCCCGGGACCTGATGTTTGTCTTGTCTTTTCTGACATTCTGATTTCACGCGTCGCAGCAGGTCTGGGCGATCTGCCGAACGATTCGCTTAGAATCTCCGAAGCTTCTGGTGGCCACTGTGGATGTGCCGCCATCGCCTCAGCATGTCGGAGTCGTCTTTTGCTCCGCCCTGCCAGCTGCTGCCCCGATTCCTGACAGCATTGCTAGATGTGTTCCAGTGTTCCTGGCAGGAACAGTGCCACTGTTCACGAGATGACGGACTGCATCCGAGCCGTGAGTGCCTGAGGTTTCATGGAAAGTGCACGTTTGTCAGGCTTTGGTTGCCCTGAGGCACAACTCGATTCGGGCCCACGCAATGAAGTCTCTTTCATCATCGATCGGAACAACCAGCTAGGCCCGGGAGTGTTCATGCCCAGAGTTCTGCAACATCAGAACTTGCCGCCGCAGGAAAGAGGCCTTACTAGTCGGACCGCTTCTTCGGGCCGGATACCTCATGACTTCTTCGGTAGACTTAGCTTCCCGCGTGATGCTGCGAAAACAGGATGTGAACCGCTCACAGCAGTGCTCGAACGCTAGTCCTGCGTGCATCACCTCGGCGCCTCCACAGCTCACAGCAAGCGCTCTTATGAAGCTGTCGAGGCCACAGCGCGAATCGCTACTGTTCAATCAATACTGGTGCATTCTGTCAGCATGTCGAGGTTTGCTTTGCAGCGCTGGCAATCCCAATCCCATTAAACTCAATGAGGCCGACTTGATGCTCCAAGACACAGAACCAGCATCGTTTAGCTCCAAACAGATGCACACCGCATATACCTGTCCTGCCCTGCATCTGTTGCTTGGTTTGATCCCGAAGTCATGGCCGCGGTGGCTGGCGACACAGGTGCCTCTGGACATTTTGCATGATTCTTGGATTGGAGGTTGGTTTATGGCAGGAGCCCGGAAGCACAAGCCTTTCGCCGGCAATGCCTCATGCTGGAGTCGTTATGAACTTGCTGTCTTTGTACAGTGCTCGGGCGAGGTAATGAGGCAGACAATCTGTAACAGCTGAGACAAAAGGCAGGATCCCTTGAAAAACCCCTTTCAATGCCTTTGTCCAGTTCATGCAAATATGGCCTCCCAACAGAGAATTCGTGCAGGCTTGTTTGTGCAGCGGAAGTGGCATCCCACCGCATGTTCTGGAGGCACAAGCTTCTCTCCCTTCGAGGTGGCGCTGCAAGAGGTAAGATGCTCGCTTTTCGCTGAAGATTGGTGGGTTGGGCGCTCCCGCCTGGCGCATCGCCAGGCACATGGCCGACTGCTTGCAGCGCACTCTGCAGCTATGGCCACAATGGAGGCCTTGGCCATGGCATGCCATGGCCATACTCAGCCCCACTCTGCTTGGCTGAAGAACGTAATCAGATCTCGTCGATGTGAATGTGTTTCTTCATGTCGTTCTGCAGCTCAAGCAAAGCACCAATTGCATGAGACTGAGCCGCGCTGTGTGATGGGCCTGTGTTTCCGGTAATGGCTCTGGGTCGCTCCTCGGTGAGCATTGAGGTTCTGAGACACTTTGTGAAAACTGACCGTCGACATTCTTTGTTTTAACGTTTGCAGGAGTGCTTGGTGGGTTGATAACGGCAACGTCTTTCCTTCTGTGCGCCACCTCTGTGTGTGTCGACGAGGAAGACACAGGCGCACGGACATCGAGATCTAAGCGTCAAATCATGAGTCAGCTTGCTCAGCTTCCTTGGCAGGTGCCCTCCTGCAACTGAAGGAAGCTTCCAGACCTGAGGCTATGGATGGTCACCCATCATGCATAAAGCGGTTTCCGCGTCATACGGGTTGTGATTTTGCTTTGACCCGAGGCCCCGAAAGCATCGACCAGCGCCTTCTCGCATCGTGGCTCCTTGTAACGAGGCCAGAAAGAACATGTTGGGGTCTACGTTCTGAGCCGTGCTTGAGTCTCGATAAACTGGGGAATGGTGTGCTGACGTCAGGACTTGGAGCCAATACCGGCCGCACAAGGAGGCGACCTTGAGCATGATGGATGCTTGGCTTGCAGGCAATGTGACATCAAAGATGCATGACATGGGGAGCAATTTGCACAAAGGAGTCCAATGAGACAATCATGGCCTGGGCCTAAGCATGGCTGGGTCACTGTAGAAGGATATGGCTGCTTCAGGCTGAAGATGAATTTGGAAGTTCTGACGTCTGCAGCTGCGAGCTACGGCTGCTACTCCTATACTGCTGTGTTATGATTACTTACAGGTTGTATCGGTGGCACTGTTAGGCACGATATGCTCCTTTGCCGAGGCCCGGTACCTCCACGGTTCTTTTGACGAGGCCCGGCATTGCTCGGATTAGGTCACATCATTGCGCAGACGTGTCTTCTTCAAGCGTCGATTATTCGGCATTCGGGTTCGTGGGGCAAGGAGTGCGAGCATGAGTTGGTTGAGTCGGAGTGTTGATTGTCCGACACATGTTTTTCGAACCATGCCTATGCTGGGGGAGCACACAGCGCCAAACCAGGGAATGAAAGGCAATAGAGGGCGTGCAAGCAGAGCGCAAGTAGAGCCACTGCGAAGGGTTGTGCACTGAAGCTGTGAGCGACTGGCCGGGAAGGTTCAGGAGCGTCATCCCACGGACCTGATGTGGATGACCATGATTCCCTGCGCCGTGGTTGGTGTTGCAGCCTATCTGCATTTCAGTACCTGCATTGCTGCTCGACTGCACTTCCTGCAACGCTCTCAAACCCGAGGCTGTAGCCGCTGCAGCAACGACACTGATGATGCAACACTTCGCTCAACCAGGCCAGGCTTGCAGAGAGGGAGTGAGACTGAGATCTTCGACTATTGGCACTCCAGAAGCAAGGCCAAGCCAAGCCACTCCAAGCCACAACCGCACCTGTCAGAAGAAGTCGTGCCCCTTGTCCTCGACAAAGCCGGCGAGGAAACAGAGGTTGACAAACCGACTGGAGGCTTGGGTGCATGCGGCAAGACCCACATTAGCTTCTGTATCGCTAGGACCCAGCCCAATTTGCCTTTGCTCTGCAAGACTTGAGATGATGGATGAGCAGTTGGTGCTTCTCCTCCCGGAGATATCAACTCCTGCTCTTCAGTGTGACTGTTTTCGGAGGGACATGTTTGATGACGTCATGTCGAAAAGCCAGATGATCAGGCATGAGCGAGATCCAGCTGATGTTCAACATAGTCAAGAACATCGTCGGGGAAGGCATGCTTAGCCTCCCTGCCGGAATTGCGGGTGGAACAGGCGCGCTGCCAATCATGGCGCTTGTACATCGCAGAAAGCTCTGAGCCTCTGAGCCCGTTCCCTGTGTCCACAGGTCTGTTGGCTAGAACCTTGGGCATCTTCCGAGGTTCTTACAGACTGAAACTGTTCTGAATTCTGAGGTGGGCAGCATCATCGCTGCTCTATTCAGCGTGCTCATGGGCTACACTTTTTCTATCATGGGCCGCACCTGCTATGCTACAGGCCACTTTCAGCATGCCTCTTGCAGCATTCTCAACATGCGGCTTCTCTCCGATGGCGTTGCCGCCAGGTGAGGCGAGCCACAAGGACTGTGCAGCAAAAGTCTCAGGTCCTCGTCTGGCTCAGACCATGGCCGTTGTTCTCTTTATTAAGACCGCCTTCACGCCCCTTTGTTGCAAGATCGCGAGGCTGTTGAGCTCTCTGCATCCCGTGCTCGCCAAACAGCCCAGGTGTCTGACCTTTGCGATTGTCATCAGCGAGTCCTTTGCCCGGACACTGCAGCTCGGCATGACTCGTCAGAGCCGCCTGTCTGGGGCGATGCTCTGCTGCTCTGCGTACTGCTTCTGGCTCAGCTGAGGCAGTACTTTGGTGTGGGTGGTTTTATGGCAACTTCCCAGGCACCCTGCAAGACACTCCGCAGCTGACGGCCGAAATGCCTGCAACAAGGCTGCCTTGCTAACCCTCGGCATTTTCGTGTTGCTGCCTCTGTGCCTTCAGAAAGAGCTCCGTGCCGCAGCCCAAGACAGCCCTTTCGTGTTTGCTTGATCTTACGAGCGAAGAAGCTCACAAGTGTCGCTGCAGGTGTTGTCATACACATCCATGGTTGGATGCCTTGGTCAGGTGCAAAAACTATACGTAGGACCAGGAAAAGACAAGAGACAGCATTTGATTCGAGTTATTCGGAGTGTCTGGCAGGTGTGGGTCGTTTTCGTGATGCAAGTTCGATATGTGGATGGCTCCTACAGACCCGGGGGTCGATTCTACGATCTCATCGCTGCGAAGGACAGGCCTTGTTTGAGCTACTTCATCATGCAATGGGCTCATTCACTCCATAATGCCCGATAGTGAGGACAAGCCAGACTTCAGCGGGGGCGTGAGCTATTGGCAAAGCAGCGTCAGAACCTCGGGGCACTCCCGAAGACAAGTCAGGTGGCACAGGTCACAGGACGCACCGTCGTCGCACGTCAGGCGGCAACCTTCGTGCTCATAGGCTCTCTTGCCACAGCCTACATCGCGTACCTCCGTCGCCAGAAGGGGCTCTCACAGTAGGAAGTGGCCGCCTCGTAGGAAGTGGCCACAGGTCTCGAAGCATGAAGAGCGCTGTGATATCCGGGCAAGGCACTACAATGCCCCCAAGTTCTACTCGCAGCTTAAGGATGCGACGCCGCAGAAGTTCACCAAGGCATGAAACCCGAAACCTTCGAAAAACAGCAACGCCGCTGCGAGGGGGAACACAGTCGTGCCGTGACACGTGGATCCTTGCAGGTGGTAGCAGGAGCATTCGGCTTCGCCCTGGTGGTGTACTTCTGGATCATGTGCGTCGGCTATTTGACCTTTGGCAAAGCCGCCGAGGGTTTGATCCTCAACAACTACTCGGAACAGGACGCCGCAGCAGCGAAGCAGCGAATGGAAGCTTCGTTTTGTCATCGGGGTCAGAGGCAGAGGGCGTAGCCGTAGCCGTCTGAAACTGCAGGATGGCCTCGCGACGGCTGCCAGGATCGCCATCAGCCTGGCACGGGCCCGACACAGGCGATTCTCGGAGGCTTTTGCTTGGAAATCTCTCCGTTGAGGCGGTCATCTTCGCCTTCCCCTTGGGCTTCACGGGCTTCCGGGACTCCATGATGTCCGTCTTCGATGTGCCACAGGAGCCAACCCTGCCTGAGAAAATCTTGAAGTTGTCGATTCGTTGTAATGTTTACATCTATGTTACCATTATATACGTCTACGACCAAAGAACCATTCATCGTTCCTCCTTTTCCCCGGTTTGTTCGCTGTTTACTGACTTCGTGGTTCCTCTAATTAGCCAAAGATAAACGCAAAGAAACGCAGTGCATGTTTTGTTTGATTAACATGCGAACGAAACCTGGATCAGAGAACGCATTATTTTTTCAAGTCATTCCAATATCCCACAGTCAATCCCAAAGGTGAAAGGCTGATGAAGTGAATGGCTTTGTCTTATTTCATTATAATGTATAATCTAACTAATAAGATGTAAGCTTGAATGAAATAAGACAAAGGTCTGAACGGTTGAACGCAGAGGAAAATCTTCTACAGCAAAGATATGAAGAGAGTTCTTCGTTTGCTTTCGATTGAAGAGAGGAGAAGTTCGTTTCTGTGACGCTCCTCCTCTTGGGAGCTATCGTCCTTGCGGCCTGCTTCTTCCATGACCTGGGCCTGGTCTGAACCCCGAGCGACTTGACGTGGTGGGTGTGTTTTTTATATCCTTCCGGTCGGAGGTCAACAGCCTGGGTGGCGCCATCCTGGGGGCTCTGATCACGCCCTTCGGCTCAGCTCAACTGACGCTGCTGCTCCGCTGCTCCGCTGCTGCTAGCGCCTAACTAGCAGCGCCTTGCCCTGCCGTTTCTTCGGAGGCTCATCTTCCCCGGCCTCCTGCTCTTCTATGCCGGCCACACGCCGCCTCGTGCCCAGTTCTATGCATCGTCTGAAAGGAGAGAGTCGGAGAAAGTGCGATGCATCCTTGCGTCGAGGGGCGTGACGGAGTTCGGAGAGTTTGAAGCACGAGCGTGTTCCTTCGGCATCCTCGTGCTGGGATTCACTCTTCTGGTGTGGGCTCCTGAGTCGTAGTGGTAGCTGTGAAGCTATCCGGACTTGAGTGGGCATGCAACATGCATCTTTGTTGAGGATGTTAGCTGTGCAGGGCCCCGAACCGCTCGCAAGGTTTGGATCTGTGGTAGTGGTAATCGCCAAGCTACATCCCGAAGCACTGCATCGCTGATCGATGGCTTTGTCACTGTGTGTCTACTGACATGTTTCACTGCTTGCCCTTGAGTCATGGCGGCGCTGCCATGTGGGCGAAGCATATACATTGCCCCGTGCGGACAGTCGAAAACTTTGCGCGCAAGTATGCAAATGGCCCTTTGAGAGCTGCACCGTGCAAGGTGGGTTGTTGTGGAACCCCGTGCAGGCCGAGCTACAACACATGCGCATGGAGAACACCCGCCTACGCCTGCGGCTGACAGAGGCTGGCCTTGGCCTCACGCAAGGAGCTCAGTTGCTCGCGGCATTTCTCTTTGGAACGAACATTCAGGGATGTTGCGAGCTCCCTTTCCAGGCTAGACTCTGCAGCCGTCGAGGCCGAATTCACTGCAAAATCCAAGCTTTATGCCCGGTGAGTCCTTGAATCCTTGAACCTTCCTCACTGTGAGTCAGGGCCACAAGCCCGCGGCCCTCGCAGAGATGTCCAAAGCTGCACCGCAGCCACCGGAGCTTCCGAGGAAGTGTGCCGTGTTGTCCTTGTTCTGCTTGCAGATCAACTGTGTGGCAACCAGGACTTGCGACCAGCCTCTCAACGCCGACTGTGATAGCATGGACACCAATCGAGAAGGCGTAGAGAGATCCGGTCGAGAGAGAGAGAGTATTAGGCCCCTCAACCCAGTGCGCATGCGCGCGGGGGGTGACGTTCGCTGCTTCCCTTGGCTGTGCGGAAGAAGACAGAGAGAGAGGCACACAAGAGATGGATGGGGCAGCGCGCCCGCGCGGGGCGGGAGGACTGCTCCCGCTTCTAGCCCTTAGCAAAGCAAAGCACACAAGAGAGACGGACGGAATGACGGACATACTGATGTTGCATTGAGGGTTTGAGGGTTGGGGCTTGGATAGACTCACGGAGAACAAAACCTTGTCGATCCATTTAGCTTTGCCTTGCATCTTTCTAACTACGGGAGGTGTTTAATAGGTCTTTGCATACACAACCTATTCAGTTCGTGGCTTCCAGCCTTTTTAATCAAGGTGGGACCGGACCCGATGCATGCAAGGTATCAGCTACACAGCAGGGACCCCATCGAAGCCTGCAAAGGGCCCGAAGACAGAAAGATCTGACGACCTGGAAGCGGACTTCAGTAAGAGTGCTGAAAGGCCCAAGGTCCCCGGATTTTTGCAAGGTTTCGGTATGTTGTCGATGTGGCCCTCGCTTGCGATGGTTCGTATTTCTGTACATCCCGAGTTGAAAACCTGGCGTTTTGTGTGCAAGCTGCTCTTGCCCTTTCGAAGCAAGGTGACTGCTGCCTGATGTAGGTCAACTGCAGGAAAAACACATGAAAAACAATCGCCCATCGCTTCACGAAGGGGCAAAGGAGGAGGCGACCGGAGGAGGAGGAGGAGGAGGAGGACGAGGAGGAGGAGGACGAGGAGGAGGAGGTGGAGGCGGACATGCAGGTGCAGCAGGGAAAACAAGACCGGGGATTGCAGGCTTGAAGACGATTCATGGCAGAACTATTGAAGTTACAGCCGTCTTCGCAAGTGAGTGTATGGTTTCGTGGCCGTGGTGTGTGGTTTTGTGGCAGGGCCAAGCCACCCTCCAGAACTCAGTACGCCTGTGCCGGACCTGCGAGGCTGTTGGTGTAGATAGTAAAATCATGTGTAGTAGTGATGTTTCGGCGCAACACACACTGTGCTGGATGAAGAGGTGCGATGGCAGATTCACAAATCCTGGCGGGGCACCCAAGATTGGAAGTATCAACACGTCGGGGATCGTGAGGGCCTTTGCAATCTGAGGAACCTGTGTCCTTCGCGAAAGAGAAAGAGCCCACGCTGGCGACTCGTTGATTGCGGCTTCCCGATCGGGAAGCCGAAGGGCTCAGATGTTAACCATTGATTTCGAGGCCAGAGGTTGTCGAGGAGGTGCACAACCTGCAAAGCCCACAAAGACCAGTGTCCACAGATCCAGGTGCCCGCGAACACGGTCGTTCTAAATCAGCGTTGCAAGTTATGACAGCTTTAGCTCCGTGCCTGTCCTTAAACCAGGGTTTCTGTGACTTGTGTTGCAAGCTGAGCACCGAAAAAAAAAGCACGCTGCCAGTAGGATACTGCTTGCAGCCCGCGTCGAAGTCACTGAAGAAACTACAGATCGTAGCGCCCAGTGCAAGCGCTGCCTCCCGAGTCCGCTTCCGGCAAATGTACATTCACCAAGCATGGCACCTCAGCGCAGCAGCACTTCCTTGGCAGAGGCGACGTCGTCCTGGCGCTAGGGGCGCTCCTCCGCAAGTATGGGTTCGGGCGCCCAGCTCTAAGACTGTGCTCGACACCTGCGAAGTTGGGAGCTTGTGCTCCGGCTGCTGCCTGTGCAATGTTGTAGTTGATGGCATGTGGTCTCAATCCAGACTTACTGTGCCGTGCTGCCGTGCCACTACTGGGTCCATGGGTTAAGTCGCATCGGCTTGTGTTTAGTCGCATCGATCGAGTGTGCAGTTGGGGATTCTGCTAAAACGTGTCAGTTCGCATCCTCGGACATGCTTGTAGACCTAATGATTCAGCCAGTGTGCAGCTGCTGTTTGCGATTCCAGTGGTGCCGGTTGCTGGCCCAAAGTCTCGAGCGGTTGCCTGTGGAATCAAACGTCTACATGGGGAAGGGCTGGGTTTGACGTGCTGTGATGTTATGGATGATCACAGTGAATACTTATGTGTGCCTCCACCGGTTGCTTGTGGAATCGAGCGTCCACATGGGGAATGACTGGTTTTGGTGTGCTGTGACGCCCTCGACGTGTGTCCCGAGCGGGTGCTTCTGGAATCGAACGTCTACATGGGGAATGGCTAGTTCTGTGTAACCACTTATGACTCGACCGGCCCTATGGAATCGAGCGTCTACATGGAGAATGGCTGGTTATGATGTGCTGTGATGTCATGGGTGATCACTTTGGTTGTGTGTGTGCCTCGAGTGTATGTAAAATCGAGCGTCTACGTGGGGAATGGCTGGTTTTGATATGGTGTGATGAAATGAGGTGATGTGAGTGCAAAATAGCCACGAATACCTGCGTCACGCGGCCTTTCTACTCATTTCGCTACATGTGTTGAAACCCACCTCCGGGCCGTGTGCCCATGGGGTTTCGCTACTTGTGATGTGACTAAACGCGGGTGATGCGACTAAACGCGGATCGAGCGTCACCTTGGGGTGTTGTGACTAAACGCGCCCTGACGCGACTTAACCCCGCTACACGTACTGAGCTCGGCACAACAGTGACCCATGTAACCGTCTCGTGACTAGTGGCTCGTGATTCGTGTAAATGCTCCGGCACGCGCAGATGCGGGCAAAATCCAATCAAGCTCAAAGTGCGGAGGTTACACGGTCTGCCGGTCAGTCAACATCGACAGGCTGCCCATCGCTGCGGGAGTTTTGCCTCCTTCGGTCTGGGAGATGCAGTAGACGCCCTGGACGTTAGTGCATCAGCAGGTTGAGGCTGCCTGGACGGTGGCTGGCAGAACGCCCCGCTGGCATTGTTGGATCTGGGAACATACACGCAGTTCAAGTTCGACACAGCTTGGAGTCGGAAGTTCCTGCAGGCTCCTCCTTCGTCAAAAAGGCTGCGATCTCGAGGCTTCAGGCACTTTGGGGAGCAGTGCACGGCGACTTGCGCAGACGAATCAGCCATGCCATTCCCATCAGGCGACGGGGGTCAAAGTTGGGAGCTTCTGGAGGCGCTCTTCGTCCAAAATCTGGCGCAGCTACAGGCGCCTGGCACGGGTCCAACACATCCCATTACCAGTCCTTAGCCATGAGCCTTCGAGCTCAACCCGGGAAAGTACCCAACGGGAAGACCACGAAATGCCTGAGCCATAAATCTACGGAAGCTCACCACTCGGCTGGAGTGCTGAGGAGTTTCAGAAAACACGGAAATTCGGGAACCAGATGCGTAGCCCACAGAATGGATGCGAAGAATGCCGAAGAAAGAGAGCTTTCAAAGACGCTTTCAGTGCAGGCCTTGAAGCGTGACACGGACATTGTCGCGCGAGTAAGCGCTCCGGCCCAGGCCCGGGATCGGAGCGGGTTCATTGGGGCAGTATCCGAGCGGAACGGTAGCTTCTGGTGCTTGTCCTAGTACGCGTTTTGTGTACGTGTGTGACCTTCGAGCTGAAAGCGCAGAGAGCGAACACGGTGCCCTCAGGCGGAGCCAGGCCATTCACAGGCTGGTGGTGTCCCTGTGGGATTTAACCGTTCAGTGAAGGAGTCCGCGTCGTGATCTCGCACTGAAGACCTCGTGCTGGTATCTAGTTACCGTTAGTGAGCCGACGTGCAGCGTCGCTGCTCCAGGCCAGGTCATCACGCAGGGCCCAGAGCTCTCAGGACTACGGCCGGCAGGCAGACCCGCAGACCTGTCAGTGCAGGGATTAAGACTTGCGGCTTCCGAACTTGACTGTGTGGTTGGAGTGGCTTGGGCAGAGGAAGGCCCTTTCCGTGCATTGCACATCTCTGACGGTCGACTGACTTGCCGGAGGCACCGCGCCTTGCGGAACCCGTGACGGGTGGTGGTGGCTTGTCGTTGCTGGGATCCCCAGGAAAGGATTGGAAGCGTTGGAAGCGGAGAAGCACTGCACACAGCTGAGGGAGCGCACGGAGGATGGCCTTCCGGCCGCCGCCTCGGGACCTCTGAGAAACGCAGACGTTGAGTTTTGTGGAAAGGTCTGGCGGGCAGACGGCCTGCCAGCCTTCCACAATGCCTTCCCCCAGTCCTTCGACGCTTTGTGGGGGATCCAAGCGCAAGTGCAAGCTCTGAAGCTCTGGCTGGGATGTGCCTTGGCCTTTTCTTTCCTCTTTGCCCCTTGGCCAGGTCCGGGGCCTCCCAGTACTACTCGCAGCCGCCATCCCAGAGAGAGAGGCGAACGTGCAGAGGGATGGAGAAACTGGGGAAATGGTGCAAAGTCCAAGTCCAAGGTTTCGAGTTCGTGTTCCTACTGCCGCCTGCTCAGCCCGGCTCATCGATTGGATGAGCCTTTCCACATCCGCCAACGGTCGGCGCACATTGTTGTTGTAAAAGTTGTCGAAGTGCAGGCCTCGCAGTACGAAGCATCAGAGAGAAACTGAGAAGGCACAATTGGTGTTTGGCTGGAGTTTCGCAGAATTCCAGAAGGTTAGTGGTGCGGATTGCAGCATTGACAGGTCAGATGATGCAGATCAAGACTGGAAGCAGGCGTGAAGTGAGCTGACGAGCAGCTGGACGACAGACAAACCGCAGCCTTGACCTCAATTCCTCTAACCAAGCCCATCTTCATTGGACTCATCAGACCATTGAAGAGCCTTCGAACGTGTCCGAGGTCAAGACCGTTGCATCCAGACGGTCAGGAATCGGGTTCTACGTTCCTGCAAGAATCCGCAATGATTGTACCGTTCGTGTACCCTTCGCAAAGCGCATCGGACTAAAGACACTGCGGACCATGCTGAAGCACTGGGGACTGGGCACGGCCAAAGTGCCGCCGAAGACGTGCCTGCCCGAATGAGTCGTGTCTGGGCGCTTGGAAAAGTCCGCCGGCAAAGTTCCGAAAGATTGTGCAGCAGCTTTGCGTATGAAAGCCCGGGAGGATGACCAGTGCCCATGAATCTTTACCTGAGCTGCAGCCCCGAACCAAGACGCGAGCCCTTGACAAGAAACCCGACTCTGCAGGATGACTTGCTCCGAGGCTTTCCTGCTTCCTGCGCGTTTACGCTGGCAGCCACCAGCCTTTTGCAGGACAGGGCCTGCACGCGGAAACAGGGGCGCTCAAAAGTCTCTTCCTGTACTCGGCAGACAGGGACATGGGTGAATCTGGACTGTGTCTCCTGACGTGCAGCAATTTTTGGGATGCCTTCGCAATGCATACCATCCCACGCACGTATGCGCTCGGAATTGGCAGGTGGCGAACTTCTTCTGGAACCCGTGGCTCTGCCGCCTGGAGGCTTTCCGGTAAGATAGTGTGCACACGGCAGTTCGTGTGGCTAGAAGAGGCAACCACAGGCTTCTACGGTCACTTATGGGGGCTGGAAGAGTAGATCTGTGTATGGTCTGTGCAGCTTTATAACTTTGTAGGGTGCAGCTTTATAGGTCGGGGGCGTCAGACGTGTGCACCGGTACACGTAGCTGCGATGACAAGGTGAGGAGGAACCTGAAATGGACGTTCCGGAAGTGAAGCGTTGCACCGTCGAGACGCAGACGGAGGCCCGATGCCGGAGGCGTCACGCAGAGGGGCAGTCCCGAATAAGCAGACCCATTGCCCTAGGCACCAGAAATGCCAAAGGACGTCAAGCCACCGGCTGTGCTTGGGGCATCAGGCGGAGAGCGCCGAGGCTGTGAGCGGGCTCTTGGGCCCGTGGGGCCGCGACTTCGGGGGCCGGGGTGGTTGCGCATGGAGGCTCGAAGGCAGAGACGACCCCACCCAAAGCCTACAAGATGGAGGGCGAAGCGTGCGCCCGTCATACTTGCAATGCTACATTCTGACATCCGACAGTCATCCGACACTAAATGTTTCCTCAACGACAGCAGGGTCTTCGCTGACGAGATCCAGCTTGCCCATGGCGGCGACTACCTCGAAGAGGCGGAGCGCCGTCAAGACTTGCGAGCTCAGACGCACAAGCGTGCGTCCCTGCTAGGCCCCGGCAACCCCACCAGCGGCCGAAGTGCAGGCACCACGCAGACAGCGGGGTGTGACAGACAGCAGTGTTGCTTCATCAGGAGGCGACGCCGAGCTCCCTGCCACTTGTGTCACAGCTGGTGCGCGAGCTGATGCAAATGCAGCGCATGGCTCAGCTTGCTGTCAGTCGCAGAATCCACATTAGCAGAGCTGCAAGTTGAGGACTCGAAGCATGGACGTATGAGACGGGGAATCGTCTTCCTTCGAACAGTCGGCCAAAGTGCCGGTAGGGTGGGGGCCATCCCTCGGACAGTCGCGGGGTTGTACAGTCCGAAAGGGTCATGCTGTAGTGTAGGATGCTTACCTGCATCCTTTGGCACAAAAAGAGTCCGACTCGGCAGTGGGAAGATGGCTACAGAAGTGTATCCATGTTGCTTGCTGTGTTGCAACTTGTTCTGCCGCAGCAACTGCCATGGGACTGGAAAGATTGAATCAGTCAATGTACCACGAGATCATAAGCAAGGGTGCTGATGGTTCGTCCTATTATATGACTTCGACATGTGCAGCATTTCGCACCGCAGTTTGATTAGCCTTAGACAGGTTTGTCTAGGAAGGGAATGGACGTCGAAGATCTGCGCCGCATCGGCTTGCTGGATCATTGGGAGGCATTGGACCGTATTGCTTCAACGCCGCTGTCGGCAGAGGATGTGGAGGATGTGCTCGAAGCGGCAGATGATGTGACGCGATCGCGCTGGAGCCCCGAAAAACTGGCGGAGCAGTTCCGACACGTGTTAAGGTCGTGGCGTCAACTCACTGCGCTGTTTTGAACACAGTCTTGCCGGACAATTTGTTTCCTACTACGAGTCGAATTGAAAGCCTCACAACACATAGCCATCTTATGGCATTGCCTTTCTTAATAGTTTTGCATCTTATTAACGAGCGCAGTTTTTACCTGGAAGCTTGTGAATCTGTACAAATCCAATCGCATTGTCATTTTGTGCGTCTGCCGTCTTGCCAGGCAGCTCCGGCTCCTGCCTGTGGCGGGCCTCTTTCCAGATCTCTGTGCAGAGGTGGTCGAGATTTTGGGGCGCTGGTACCAGCGCTTCAACCTGAAAACGTGGAGCCGCATCGTCAAGGTCTGCAAGGGCTCGGCCCACCAGGTGCCATGTGTGCTCAAGGAGTTGAACGAAAGTGCTCCTGTCATTCAGAAAGTGCGGAGCTGGGTCGATTCCCTGCCGACCACGGCCCCGAAGGCCTGCATCGTCGACTTGGGTGCAGGCTTCGGATTCTTGTCGATGCTCTTGGCCGAGCTGCTTCCCGCGGAGCGTGTGGCGAAGTTCTTCCTCCTTGACATGACATACCCCAACCTGGGAGTGGGAAACTCCAGTGGTTCCACCTCCATCGAACATCTAAAGGTGGGTTGGAAGATCCCCATGTACACTCTAAAGGTCGACCTCAAAAAGAAGACGACCCTCAACCAGCTTGCTGCCCGCGTCTTTCGCGCGCCCGTCTCGGAGGAGGATACTCGATGGGCGCCAGTGTATGCATGCGGCATTCACCTATGCAATACACTAGGGATTCGTGCTGCGCAGCTCTTCAACGAGAACGTCGATGTGCGTGGTTTTGCTTTCGTCCCATGCTGCTTTCCGACGTCGCGACACCTTACACAGGACGTGATTTACCAGTTGGGCGAACATCAGTTTGCCGCGCGAGACTTCCTGGATGCAAAGAAGATGCCTTCGAACAATGACCGCTTTTCTCGCTGGGCAGAGCACATCCTAGAGGGTATCGATCCTGGGCCCGCCGGTTTCAAAGGCCTCGAACGGCACCGGCTTGTCCGGCCACGTCGGGGAATGTTCGCACAGGACGTTTACATCTTCGCAGAGCGGCCGCTCGAGGCCTTGCCCCATGCGCCGTGGCAGCGCAGGGAGGAGCCGGAGGGGCGGGGCAAGGCCGTTGTCATTTGGGCCAAGTACGGGCACGGCAAAGCCCGAAAGCGCGAAGTCCGCGAAGAGCGCGAAGCCGAAAAGGTTCAGCGTCTTTGTTTGTGGGATTCTGGTGCTGCTGTTGCTGAGCTCCACCACTAATAGGGCAGTTTGCCACTGGCTCTGAATGTTGATAGCCTTATTGTCCGACAGGCAGCATCAAGGCTATGCAAGGTAGAGGTCATGTCAGCTTGCCATGTCAAAGGACTACCTGATCTGAACCCGTGCAATTCAAGCTTCGGACTCGAAGCAATGGAAGACCATGGAGACCACACCGAGGAGGGAAGGGAATGGAAGAGTACCGCAAGGATTCTCCATCTTTTCCCTGACAGGTTGCCCAAGACATGGCAACGCATAGCGGCGCCAGGCCAGTGCCGGGGCAACATCCAAGCGGCCTCCGGCTCCCTGCGCGTCGGGACGGCTTCTCCTTCGAGGCCACGACCGCACCGCAGCCTCGCGTAGTGGGCCATGTAGCAGCGCTTAGCAGCACGGCGTTGCAGAGCGCGGGCGCGTGGAGGTCCCTGCTCCCCGCGCACTGGGCTCCAGTTCTGCTCCTCGCGTCCAGCGGACGTCCCTTGAAATGCAAGGAGTGAGGCTCATTGTGTAGCATTTGGCGTTTGTGTCTTCAAAGTCTGCCACTTCTCAACATGGACTGAGATCGAGGTAGCGGAGGTTACGAGATGTCAGTGCCAGAGATTCCAAGGTGCTTTGCGTCGTGTGAGTCGCCGTGCTCAGCCACAGATGAGAGCCACCTGGCTGCTTGCTGATCTTGCTGGATCTCGCAGGTAGTTCGTGCATTACTGTTGGGAGAAGCATTGAGTCGCAGGTTTTCGGCATCTCAGATGTGCCGGCACCTCGTCGGTGCTTTGCACATTGTCTAGTGGGCTTCCTTGGACGAGCATCGGGCTCTAAAGCAGTTGGAGGCATACAGACTGGGAGGAGAACTTCGATCACTTGGCGGCTTTGCCAGCGACCGACTTAGTCGGCCGGGCTATATTGTGCGTCAGCGTGGCATCTTTGGTGAACCAGGTGGGGCCGTTCAAGGACGACGCGCTGCTAGTGGCCGGCGATGTCTCTCATGCTGGCTGCTCAACTCTGCCTGCTGTCGACGCTTGAAGTGCGAGGCGTGATTGGCTGCGCTTGCCGAGGACCTTGGAGTCTTGCAGAGAACCATGAGGCTTCTCTTGGAACGCTTCGCCCACGTTTTCTTTGTGTCGGAAGCTCTGTTTTAGTCACCAGGGGCTTATCACAAATGAGAACGGCAGTTCCCGCGTACGCAGGTATTGGGAAGACAGTGGCTCTTTGAACTACGAAGTGTATCTCGCAGGAATGGCAAGCAAAGCGACATTGAACACTGCAATCGTGAGATGACTCCTCTTTAAATCCTTCACATTGGAAAGATCTTACAGTAGTGAGCAGCGCATTCTCATCCTGGCCCCGGCATACCGAGGCCTGGCAACCATGACGTCTACGTCGGTGTGGCAGCTCAGCCCCGCAGTGCCTCTTTCGCTTGTCGCCTGTCTGCAAAGGGTGACAGAGCATCGCGTTAAGGCAGCAGCAAGGACAGCATTGACTGCTCTCTGGAGAAACAAGAGAGGCCCGTCAGACGGCAGCTGCAGCGGGCGACGGCCGAAGGCAGCGAAAATAACGATCTCGTAGGTTGTTGGATGAGTGCGCCCGCATGGGAGCCACGGCCAGAGAGAACCCTTGCGGCAGTCGCAGTTCGGAAGCGGCAGTCTGACCAGCTGCAAGGTTTGGACTCGTCCTGTCCGCTTTCCTTCCCAGAAACTGACAATTGTCCCGCTCCTCTCCTGGTACCACGAGGCCGGGAGCTGCAAGAGGCTTTTGCTCACCTTCCCATCCTGTCTTCCAACTGAGGAATTCGACTCAGAGTTCGGGCCTCGAGTTATTCCCATATCCATCCGCACACTTTTGTCATTCCGAGGCCGGATGTCCCGATGTGGTCCAAGGCTGCGGCGCGGAGACATAGCCGAATAGCGTCGACCTGGCTCGCTTGCAGACAGGAGCAGCTCAGAGCACAGAGCAGAGCACAGAGCGGAGGGAGCTGCCTGCAGGGTCATGTCTTCCTGCTCGGGCGGCAGGCTGCTTGGGGACGAGATGGAGTGCAGCTGGCCTCCGCAACTCGGCAAGACGCCGGCCTCCGCCTCGGCGCTCGGCGACGCCGTGCTTTGCAGACGCCTTTCCTGTGCTCTGCCTGCGTGCATTCGCATTCGCAGGCAGAGCGCAACCTGAACTTGGCCCAGTGCTTCGATGCTTGGGCCTTGGAAGCATGAAGAGTCGCTTTGTTGGAGTTGCCGGACCTGACATTCCCTGACAGGCTTCTGCTTGAGCCATGCAAGGAATATGCTGAATATGCACGGCAGCAAAGTCCCGACAGCTGAGGCAGCAAACGACAAGCACGCGACGAAGCAGGCCGAGTCGGAGCAGTTGCAAACACGGCAAAACTCGCCAGTCTTTCCAGTCCAGGCGCTGCAGAGGCCTTCTTCTTCGAGCGCCAGCGTGGAGATGGCTCCGTTCTCAGCGTCTGTGCTGTGCCATGCTGCGCTGCATTCTGTCGCGAAGCTGCTGCTGGGTAGAAGTCCCATGCCATATCTGTGAAGTGGACATCGGCATGAATCCCAAGATGTACCTGCAAAGCATCATCAACCACAGCAGTCAAACTGCGGAATTGACTCCAAATGCAGCAGAAGCGGCTCATGCTGGTGTTGCTGCCTTTGTATGTGGTGCGTCAGAAGCCGATCGGCAAAGGTGAGCTTCCAGGACGCGGTCGCAGCGAGGAGGCGCGGTGAACACGTCAGAAGCTCAGCAAACTTGGGGTGAGGTGATTTGTTGAGACATGTGCGAAAGTTTAAGGATCTCCGTTTGAGTGCCCTGTGGGAGCCACTGCCAGAGTGCGTCATCAGGTGCTGTCGATGTCACACTTCTTGCCTCGGCTAGAACTCTTGCCGGAAAAGTTGCGGGCTTGGGATACTCAGCACTCTGACGTTGGGTCCCGGCGTCTTTTCACGGAACGCCAGCTTGAGGCGATTTCTCTACTTCCCTCAGTTGGCCAAAGCCTCCGGCTCCCGCTTCCTCGCAGATCGCTTGTCCCGGCTCCAGCCAACGCTGGGACCTCGATGCTTATATGCCCCTGCTCGAATCGATGCCATTGAAGCACTCGCGATGCGATTCAACCGCCGATTCAAGCGCCAAACCCGCATCAAGCCGATCGCGTGTGATTCAACCAATAGCCGATTCCAGTGCGAGCTGATTCAAGCCCCCGACGTGTTAGGGCAGCATTCAAGGTTTTGACCTTTGCAGCTTTCCGAGGCTGTCGGGTTCAGCATTGCGTAGTAGGTAGGGATTTAGGGTTTTGGGTATCGCGCAAGGGGAACTTTAGGGTTTGCGGCTCTAGGGTTTTAAGATTTTAGGGTTTAGGGTTTTTGGCTTTTCCGGTCGTAATTCCGGTTCAGGCTTTGGGCTGTTCGGGCTTTAGGACTTGGTTGGGCTTGTCCACAAGTTGCTTTTTCAGGGTTTACTTCGCCCAAGTCTACGATGTTGCTGCAAAGAGGAGTTTATGCTAAGTCTATGCGGTCCGTTAGCTTTTGAATTGTCGGCTCTATGTCTCGTCTTGGTCCAAGTCCTGAGCCCAAGCTTCTCGGAACTGCCGCAGTTCAGCCGGATTGCCAAGATGCACGCGAATCCTGGGTGCACATCCTGTCGGTTAGCGACATCGGACTGTCATTACACGAATCCCTCTCGCCCGAGTGCGGATCCTCTGAGTGCGTGAAACGTCCGCAGCGGATGCGCGAGAATCCTTGGAGCGCGAGTCCAGCGTCAAATTGGAAACGAATCCCCTGTGCGCGAGTCTTTTCCCCAGTGGGTAGACCGCACACGTTCCGAGTTGTTTGAGAGGCTGCACCTTTTTGGCCACACGCACTTCGCATGGGACCAGACGCTGAAGGACTGCACACAGAGTGTTGCAAAGCATGTTTGAGAGCTTGGCATTCTTACCGGTGTCCTTCGTGTGAGCATGTCCTGCTTTCTCCAGGGCGTGCGCTTTCTCCAAGCCGCGCTGGGCTCGCCATCAGAGCGTCAGACACGGAAGCGGGTCCTGCATCTGGAGGGCGGCGTGCGGAGGCCCAGAGGAGAAGAGCTTGCCGTCGAGCGCCAGTGCTCCGCCCGTCAGATGACTTCAGACTTCAGGTTCCCACGCTTCTCTGGTCCTGGCCTTGGGCAGATGGAGGCAAACTGTGGCTGTGTAGTCACAGCTCACATGTGGCTTCGGCCCTCGAGATCTTCAGAGCTTCGAAGGTTGAAGCACCTCTCGCTTCCAAATTCCACTGTGCTCTTCCAGTGCTCTCTTGCTGAGGCGCGGTGCTAGGACGCCGCTGCCGGCGCCCAAAGCGGCCCTCTGGTCGGACTACTATGCAGGGGGCTCGGAGGTTGATGAGGTTACCAAGCCTTGAGGCTGAGGCGGCGGCGGTACGATGAGTTTAGGCTATACCTCTTGATGAAGACCAGTAGAGGTAGAGGTGGAGGCAGTGGCTGGATTTTGCGGCCTCAGGCTCGGTACCGGCGGGCTCCGCGCAGCCCAGTGCCAGGACCATGGCTACGCTTTGGGCAGCGACCTTGGGCGGGGTTCGGGCAGCAACTGCGGCTTGGCTTATGCTCCACTGTAAATGCTGCCCAGGCAGGACCTGCAAAAGCAGGCATGTTACGTGTGTATGTGCATAAGCATGCACATGCCATATATGGTGCCGCGTCGCCGCGTCGCAGGCCCCCGCCCCCCCGCCCCCGGCCAGGCCTCTAGTCCCAGCAAACAGTCACTCATCCGCGTAACCCCCCTCAAAACATACCTCTCCTTAGCAAACGGGCGGAGCGCCAGGGGCAGCCCACAACCAGTAGTACCACAGGGCCCCTTCCCCTTCCCCTCCCCTTCGACATACAGGTGAGAATGATGGCGATGGTGTTGTGCCCAATTATGTTGATGTGCTATTCCCGGTGTGGCTGTTGGTGGTACCTTTGCTCTTGTGTTGCGCTGGGCTTCGGCACCGCATGCTCGTTGTTTTACGTTAAAAGTAAGCTTGAGCACGAATTTGAATGGTTTTCATTCGGGACTCTTGAGCAAGGGACCGGAGGTGGGGATCATTACCACAATCTTGGTCATTATCATAACCAAAATATTCATGTCTGTCATTGGCTTTGGAGCTCAGGGCAGGTCGGAGTCCAGTGGAACTGTATCACATCCTAAGGTCAAAACCTTTAGCAGCCGGACGCCAACCAGCAATAGCCATGGAAGGGGGCACAGCCGACCGCAACCACAGGGGGGGAGGGGGGAACCCACACCACAGCGAACCACAGGGGAGGGGGGGGATACCATGGGGTGGGGGGGGGAGGGGGGGCCTAGCAGCGCTGCAGCATATATCATATATCTACATATACGGGACTGCTTCGGCTTGGCTCTGAGGCGGCGACGCAGATCTGCCAGGGTGCGAAAGGCCCATACCTTGGCGTTAGACCGTAGGCCGCCGTAGGCAAAGCAGCAGACTGGCTCCAGCGAATCGATGCCCCCCGAAGGCCGTTGCAAAGAAGGACGGTGCTGGAAGCGTTTGGCTCATCTCTTTTCCTCCAAGTGCTACGCGGCTGCATACGCATCCGTGCACGCTCAGGTGCTACGGTGTGTCTCGTGTGGGATTTGGGCGAGGATCCCGCAGAGCAGATGGATTTGTTGAGTGAGGTGCCGAGATGCTTCAGGGCTGCAGGCTTTTGCCACGGTGCCGAGAGCCCAAGGTCCTGGTAACAATACATCTACCAAGTTTGCAAGATCGAGGCGTGTGCACGCTTGTGCTCAGGATGCCTGTGCCAAGCGGGCAAGTAAGGTTTCCTTGCAACAACCCACCCTGATGTCCCCGACACGGCATTCGTCGCAACCCTGTCGCTCGACTTAATCTCGGAAACTTGCGAATTGTGTCCGAGGTTCAGATGAGCGACAAAGAGCTGAGAGTTTCAGCTCCGACGGTGCTCGGAAGAGATTCGCGGGGGGCCTTTATGCATTTCAGAGGAGTGGACTCGAACGGCTGGGGAAAGAGCGCTGAGGTTTGGATGCGAGCTTCCTTGCGATGCATGCTGGCAGAACGCTTGGGTGGCCTGGAGCAGTCGCCATGCCTGATTTGTTTGCATTCCATGCGACTGTGACAGGTCTCGATGCATCGAGTATCAAGTTTCAGTATGGCATGCACGGCAAGCTGCGGGCTCAACACTGTGCGTGTTGCATGACAGTTGTTGGGCAGCGGAACTGGGCTGGATTGAGGCCTTCTTTGGCAGCTCCTTTAGCTGCGCAGCGCTGCAGTTTCAGCGTATCGCATTCTGGGGAGGCTGCCATTCGTGTAGACCAAGCATTGCAGCTCTGCCTTTGTACCTCCAAACGGAGCCACACTGAGACTTTGTTACATTGGCAAAGGTGGGGGCGCTCCTTTTGTTCACGCCCGAGCAGTCGGAGCCAGGATGTAATGCTCAAGAAACGACCTTCGAATTATGCAAAGCCTGCAAAGCCATGTCGAGTCTTGGACCATGGAACCATGGAGGACGCCTGGCTGCGCCTGTCGGTGTTGACCTCGAGCTGCATCGGCCCAGGCGCGGTGATCTCACAGTTGGAGGAGCATGAGGCTTCAAGTCAAATCATCAAAGGCCGTTCCGGAGACTGGCCGAACGCTTCTTCACATCTTCTGAGGTGGAGTCTTTGGATCAGGCGACCTGCTCATGAGGGCTTCCCAATACGGCGGACCATAGGGGCTATGCCCAGAAAAGTTTTGCATCTTGTGCGAGCAGGCATCCTCCGATCCTGCAGGGTGCCTAATTACAGGAAACGGGCAGCTCATGATAGCTTTTGTTTCCCAGAAGATGCACGAAACCTCAGGGGCTCCCTCGAATCCTTAGGACGACATGCTGCAACGCTTCTTCGAGATGTGGACAAAGAAGGAAGCGTGGTTAAAGTCTTTGGGCACTGGCCTAGCAGGCCCGGCAAGTGCGAACATTAGCGCTCGCAGCGTTCGTTAATCAAGTGTTGGGAAACAGCCGTTGTCTTCACTTGCCAGGCGGTCTGCACAACTTGGACTGCTCTGTGGCCGGCGATGTAGAAGCGATGATGCAGGCCGTGGTATGTTTGGAATCTTGCAGTCTGGACGATTGGTGCGAGACAAAGGCTGTCGACGGCTCTGACGCTTCCGAGCCGTCGAAGTACGTTGTGCAGCCGCCTCAGCTCTGCCGCCTGAAGTCTTTATGCCAGAGAAGAGCACAGTAGGGGAGGGCCCTCGCAGTAGCTCATGTCCTGCAGCCAGGGCCGCGCTTCTTAGGTCCACATTGCGAGAGGTGCCCCTGAAGCAGCACAGTCCGCTTCTCAAGCAGTGGAGTGCGAAAGGCTTGAAGGAGCAAGTTTTCCAGACAGGTTGGGCGAGGCTTCACAGGTAAGCCGTATCAAAAAAAGGCTTACACTCGACTTTGTTCGCCGAGTGTCCGTTTGACAAAGTAAAGTTTCTTTTATGTCTTATGTCTGCTGAGGCGTGCGTTGGCAGTTTCAAGCAACCTGGTCCCAGGTTTATCCGTTGCCGTGCCATGTGGCACGCCGTTGCACTTCGACAACATGTCGAAGGCGGGTGCACTGGCAGAGTCACCGGTTTTGGAGCCCAAAGTCGTTGGACAGGTCGGCTGGCCACACATGCTTCGGACGTGCAGACCGGTGTGCAAAAATAGCCGCATCCGGTTGGCGCTGCGGAATTGCCCGTCGTTTTCCAATCAGCTGCATTCAGCGCGCATGTCCCCAAACATTGGTCTTGGTTCGTGGTGCCTATTCCAGTATTCATGCAGTATATATGTTGAACGTGGTCGTCCGAAGTTCCAGGAAAGTCTGCGGGCATCAGTGGCTTGTTGAAGGGAGCTTCTCACCGTTGGTGAAAGTCAGCTGCTGTCCTGCAGCATCGTCGCAGATCGCAGTTGCGTGACCACCGTTCCCAAACTCTTCGATTTTGCAAGGTAGTGCAGGTTGACCATGGTTGCATTGCATAACGTTCTGGTCCAAAAAGCACGCGGCACGCCCTTCTTTGCGCTTTTTCGCATTTCTTTGCCTGGGACTCACAGACTGCAGAGCAGTTGGTTCCTGATGTTCAGGTCCGTGATATTATACCACGGCATGTAGGGAAGTGAGAGCTTGTCCATGTGATTCCATTGGCGCGCTGAAGGCTTGGAACCATGGTGCGGTGCTTAAACATGGGCCTGCATGTCACCGTGCACTTTGTATTGGCTTGAGGAATAGATCGAGCGTCGCGAGGGTTTTAGAAGTAGCCACAACATCTTAGAGGCCCCTGCCAAGCGCCCAGCTGCGTCCACTGCCGGTGCGGCAGCGAAGAAGGCCAAGGCTCGACCGACAGCCATCAGGATTCACATGTGAAGCAGGAGGGCCCTTGACCATTGGCAAGTAAATGACAATGACACCGTAAGTGTTTCGTCATGCACTGGCAGGGCCCGGCCATCGGCAAAATGTGCAAGGACGCTCCGAGCCCGGCCCCCCCTGGATGTCCAGGGATCTGAGCGAAGCAAGACAACAGAGTGTGCGCTGTGTTCAGAGTATGCATCTCATGCTCCTTTTTCCGCTGCTCGAAAAGAACACGTGTTTCTACTTATTGACAAAGTCGTCCAAGAGCCCTATCCATATCAATCCCGCCCCAGCAACTGGCAGCAGCCCTACCGGATCAGAGCTGCTCAGAAAAGTCTGTATCGCATACGATAGAAGAACGGAGCCATGGCAGACGGAGACGAGGCCCAGATTATTGCTAGACATGTTTTGCTTTCAGCTCTGTTGCAATCCTGTGGCAGGTAGTTCCGCCAGACGTCTTGGCAAGGATTAGCGAGGCAGGAGAGCGCTTCGATAGATGCTTTCGACTCTGCAAGTCTTGTCATGGCAGGAGAACGAGCGCTTAAAGCAAGAGGTCTTAAGCCTCAAGGCCGTTCACACATCGTACAGAAAGCACCTGAACTTAGCCTTTCCTTTGTCAGCAGCATTTCCGATGGTCCCTGGTGCATGTGGCAGGAGAAGCATGAGAGGGAAAAGCAGCGTCTGGAAATGCAGGCCGCATTGGCTGAGGAAGGTTGTGTGACTCATAGCTGAAAGCAGTGATCTGTGGATCAGGGTTTGAGTTTAGATGCGCGAGCAGACACACTTGTCTACGAGATGGGTCGAGGGCCGTGAATGGTTGCAAGCAGCGCCAGAAACTGGCAAGTGCCCTCCCTGTCCTGCGGTCCCACGGCACGCGCCGTTGCAGGGACACAGCCTGTGACAGGTTCGTGGCGAGCGGTCCATCGCTGAGCGGGAGGCGGGTTGCGCTTTCAAAATCTGGTCGACACGAAGCCGACCTGTACCATCAAGCGGCTCCCATCTCGCGATACTCGTACCACTTCTCGCGGAAGGCCGAGCTGAACCGCGAGAAATCCTCGGAGTCACAGGCTTAGCGGTGAGTCCTACCCTGCTCCGTGAGCGAACATGATGCACAAGAAGGGGCAGAGCGTGTAGAAGCTGCAAGATCGCTGTAACACCACTCGGAGCTCGCCTCCTGCGATGGCATGCCCAAGCTAGTCACACTCAGTTTGGAAAAGATGAAGATGCAGATGGTCACTCTCACGTCCGGACCCTTACAGCTCTGCTGGCTCTGCGTGCTTTACTCTTGCATCTAGAGGCTGGCTGTGAGCTGTACAGCCACATTCTCGCAGAGAGAGTTCGAATCTGTAAGACCATTGGCAGTGTCCTCCATGTTGTGTTTTCCGTACTCGGCCAGAGGCACACTTTCCACGCATCCTTGGGGGTAGGAACGTGACAGGATCGAGGTCGCTTGTATTGGATGTGTGGAGACGAAAACACAAGTATCCGAATAAGCAGACAGACCAATACAGAACCGAAGCCTTCAACTTCTCTGGGTTTGGCTCGTTAACTATCTTAAACCCGCACCACACTCTACCGTGTGCTTTGATCGTTTCTTATCCTTGTACACTTTCAGAGCTGAAGAGACCTTGATCTTGTCACTCGTGCCATGATTCGTACGAAACTCTCAAAGTCTCATTTCCAACCCTGTGCTCACCGGATCCTGGACGAAAGTCAAAGAATAAGAATGCAGCTCACAAGTCTTTGAAGTAGAACTCACAGACTCACAAAATGTGATTTTGCATTCTTGCGAGGCGGAAACTGGACGACGAAGTCACGGCCAAAGATCAGGCAGCATTCGTTCAGCATCTCGGATGTCTGCACGTGTATTCCGATTTGAGCGCTCTTGAGGGCGAACGGTAGAGCAGCGTCTCGAGTGTGTGAGCAGGTGGTGGGCGAAACTCACCGCTTGGAGCGGAAGCTGCAGGATGCAGCCCGGGGGTGCTGCGGCTAAGCGCGCTCGCTGCGAGTCTCTTGCCTCTCTCCCTCACAGGCTCCACAGCAAGCGGGTTTCAACGATGCGAAGTCTCTACTGTCTAAAGTCAGACACTCCACCTGAGACCTTTCTTCGTCATGCTGACGATGAAGCCGCAGAGTACCTTTATGTGATCTTGCGCATGAGGAGCTCTCCATGGGCAGCGAGACCCTCAACTTTTGCAATCTTCCCTGGCCAACAGCGTCGCACGCGGGTCCACGCAGTCTGACGATATCTGAAGTATTCAGGGTTTACACATGTTAGAAGGGCTTGCAGTATCCTTGCGGTGCTGATTTTGATTTTTCGTTTAATTTTATGGTACAAGCTTCGGCAGGGCTTCGCTTCGGCAGGGCTTCGGGAAGTGTCGCCCCCGCAGACTTGCAAGGTGCCGCGGGCGGAACAGCCGCCAGTAGCTCACAATTTCCGTTTTCGCATGAAGATGTTGGCTTCGGTTCTAAGCAACATCCGTCAGGCCAGCGGCTCTGCCGGCGCCTCTGGAGAGGACTGCAAACCACCGCGGTCATTGAATGCACAGCATGAGAATGGAGCTGTAGTCGCCAAGTTGTTTGCAGCGTCACATTGAAAAAGAGAAAGGCTTGAGAACTGAGCGAGTGCGTTCGCAGCGGCAGACGGGTTGCATGTTGGCGAGCAGCCGCGGTTGGGGATCCTGTGCAGGTGCAGCCGGGAAGTTTCGTGTAATGTTCGCTCAACCCTAGGAATCGCAGGACATGCGGATTCACCTCCAGCTTGAAATCCCTAGAATCCCTAGAAAGACAAAAGGTACTAGACGGCGGACAGACAAGCAGAGTCAGAATGCCATTGGGTGGATGTGGATAGCATTTGCGCGCTGCTTTGTGCAGGAAGAGAGATCGCGCCTTGACTGCATTTGACAAGGAGCTGTTGTTTCCTGGGCCGACTGCGGAAGCTAACTGCACAGGGCCTCTTGCCACTGTGCTTTTGCAGTCCTTGTTGCGGGCTGTGGAGCCCGAGGCGAGAGAAGACCAGCCAGGTCTCCACGAAGCTGATGAGGGCGGCAGCCCCTGCGTGCCCAGATGCCGGAAGCTGCTTCGGAATGCACGGCCGTGTGCAGGTCGTGGACCAGTGGATGCGCTGCAAAGACATCCAGCAGGCCCGGAGCTTGCGGAGCTTGCGGAGCTGGGATCTGAGGCAGGCGCCCGAATCCCGAATTGAAGCGAGCCGAGGCGCTCCTTCGAGACGCAGCCATCAACGACTTGGCCTTTGCAACGCTGGTGGGCAGCGCAGTGAAACGATTGGACATAGGATCCTTGAGTCGTGCAAGCGCGAACCTGTCTTCAGGCGCAGGCGCTTGTTGACTGCCCCTCGCTGCAGACGCTGGACTTGTCGCGAAATCTGCTGACCATGGACCGCGGGCATGATTCAGATGTGGAGCATGGTGCACTCAAACCAAGGCAGCCGAAGCTCTTGTATTCCTCCCTTACAGGACTCTTGCTCGGACCTTTGTCAGCTTATCACCACTGCGCTGGTCCCTCAGTCTTCGGAACAATCTTCAGTCGTGCTGTTTCCAGAAGTAACTTTTCAGCTTTGGATTTCGCAGAGTGAATGCAGCAAGTGCAGGCCGTGCCTGTCGTTCATCTCGCTGGCTGAGAACCTGCTCAGTCTTCGCTGTGTGGGAGCCTCGTGTTAGTGCAAGAGATGCAATCGCAGCACGTGATGCGCGACTCGAGTCTGTGCTTGCAGGGCCGGGTTGGGTTGTGTTCCCGGGTCTACTTTTTAGGGTTCACAGGCGGATGGTTGAAATGTTTGAAGCACTTGCACTGATATGGACACGCTTCTTTTTGCTCAGCGCCTCTTTCTCTCCGCCGCTCAAGGAGGAGGGGTCCGTTTACTTAAAGGATCATGGGACTTGGTAACTAGGGCTCCTTAAAGGGATCCTCATACAGGGATCTATAGGGGTTCTATTATAAGAGGGGATTTATAGGGTATGCTTAAAGGATCATGGGACCTAGTAACTAGGGATATAATTAGGGTAACTATACTTGTAACCCCAATGAGGGTACTTCTAACCTTACTTACTAAGTCCCATGATCCTCCAAGTAGGGTTTAGGGTGTGGCGTTTAGGCTTCTTCTAGGGTTTAGGGAGTGTACTTCGTCCAGGGTTTGGGGTTCCAGGGTTTCGTGGGCTTGAGGGTTTGGATTTCCGGATTCAAGAACTTCCAGGCAGAGCCCCCGATCCGAAGCTCCACTTCTCTATTTTCAAGAACCGCATCCAAAGAACTTCAAGCTCTTTTCAGACAGTACCACATATGTACGCCAAAAAACTGCCTAAAGTTCTCCCCTTGGCTATCTGAGCTACTGGCAGGATCAGCGATGAGCAAATATAGCTGCACTGTCTCTATAGTGAACCCTCTTCGTGAGCACTCATCGTGTCTCGGTGTCTTCCGATGCCTAGCCGCCTAGATGCTCGCTGAGGTAGGCTACTTCATGACCGCCATCATGGAGAGGCAGACCACAAAGAGGCCCCGATATCATGCAACCCATGGATCCCGAAACGCGGCTTGAGCAGCTTGATAAATCGACTGCTTCTTCATGCTGTTGTTGTGGTGCCTGTGCTCGTTGAACCGCCTACCATAGCATCACTGAGCTCGAGTTGACAGGTTGGTCCCACTCGACCTCCTCGATCTGCAAGGCATGGGCTCAAGCGTGATTTGCTGAGTCGTTCTGCCGCTGCAGTTTTGGTTCTCCCTTCCAAGGCAACGAGGGGCTGCAGATGGCCCTAGCCCAAGCACCACCCCAGGACAGAGTGGTCGAGACGCCAGCACGTTTTTATGGCCTTGAACATCGGAGAGCGTATCTTGCCACTCGAAACTTTTGTTTTGCACAAATCGAACGGGAATTTCCCGCCGAGCATCCCCGCAATGCAACCTTACTCTTCTTGCATGTTGTCTTGGCTGCTTTAAGTCCTTCGAGGCTTTGCTCTTGAGCTGTGTTTCATCCCCCCGGAACGAAGGTGACAGGGCAGGCACACAACACCCTCACTCCAGCTGACCCGTTGATCGCTCATGCCGTGCTTGCGCTGCTTCTTGGACTCTCGCTCTCTCTCTTTCTCTCTGTGTCCAA